TTTTTTTTTTAGTTTTATTCATTTCAAATGGGCCGGATCCGGCCCGCAGGCCATAGTTTGCCCACGGCTGGTCTAGGGCAATATAAACAATCTTAATAATACTATTTCACATCTTAATTATGATGCCATTATATTATTTAATTTGGTGGTATAATATACTTTAAAAGTAAAAACTTTGGCAAAAGTACATTAGTCCTGCAGTTTTCTGGCTGTGCAACATTTGAAACATCAATTAACAGCAATCTCAGAGGTTGTGATGTGTCAGAAGCTGCGCTACGAGTGTAATGGATACTGTTTTAATTCGTTCTAATAATATTCAAATGCAAGGATTAGAATGTCCACTTTATATTGAAATAAAGCTGAGGCTCAGTAATAATGTATGTGAAGGTGCCCTCATGGGCCAGACACATGCTGGTGTTCAATAGCAATTGCTTTTCTCACATTCTTTCTCCCTCCCTGGACTGCTACATCAGACCTCTAGGGCAGGCCATTTTCATCTCTGCTTTCCTGATAGAAAGCAGACTCCTAGAGGTTAAGTGATCTGCTAAATTTAAAGAGGAGGTTCATGACACAGTTAGCTCAAGTCTACCTCAGGGAATAATGATGCACAAATCTCCATATGAGTATTGTTGGTACTTACCAATGGGAATGAAATGCTGGGTTGAGTTCAGTGTAATTAATACTAGTTTCACAAAGTTTTTTTTAAAAAAAGGTATTCTCATTTTGGATAGGGTTTAAAATCACCTAGAACATTTTTTTTGTAACACATTTATGTACGTTCAATATTGGCATGTTTTATTAAAGTGATATGCATTTAAACACCCCAAACAGTGAAACCAAATACATAATTGGAACTCCAAGTTATTGTTATATGAGAATACAGGGATTTTTTTCTTTCATTTAAACAGTATGAAGTACCTACTGTGTTCCAGGATCCATGCTAACTGCTGGGGATGCTGTGTATCAGAGAGTGGTCTCTGCTGTTAGAGAATTTGCAGTCTGGCACATGTTTGAACTCATGTCCCAGGATGTGGCTAATATGATTAAAAGGTTAAAAATATGATAAGTGGTGCCTAGGTCTTTGATTTTTGTAACTAAAAATTACTCCATTCATAGAGGCAGTTCTCAAAGCAGCATTTGTTCCATTGAGTTATGCTAGCTTGAACTGTTTTGTACTGAATTCTAACATTTTCCAGCACTCAAAGGGCACTTGACACATACCACCCAACCTTACCATCTAAATTCTGAAAAAAAATTAGAAGATAAAGGAGTGGCAGATAGAACATCAAACATCCTCTTTGTTGTTGATAAGGTCCGAGTTGACAGAGATGCTTATTGTCTGTAACGGAACTGCAGAATTAGGCCAGTTAGCCACCTAATTACAGGCAAGGATGAATCAGGGTGGAGGTTCCTGTAGAGACCTTCCTGTGGGCAGTTTCTTTTCTAGATGAAGAACGGTAAAGTGAGTCAAACATGTTCAGTTTAGTCTTATGCCATGATCTGCATGGTGGGTTCAGGATAACCTGTAGGAGGGCCGATGCACAATGAAGACACTATTCAAGAAAAATGAATTTTAAAGGCCTGGGGGGGCCAGGTGGAACCTCTTTCGAGAAGAGGAACCACGAGTCCCAGTCTTGCCTGTTTTTTATTCAGTTTGGTTACACATTTGTCCCTTAGCAATGCATGCAGGCAGAGCAGATAGAATCAAAGGTCAGTGAAGTTTAATGGACAATGTGAAGATGATCAGGTTAGGAAATCACCTCGAGCCATCACAATCACAGCATTGCAATATTTGCATTCTGATTAAGTGATAGTTTTTCACCAAAGGAATAACATCCAAGGTAAAACCTGCTGAGATCAAGGTCCATTGGCCTTCCAATGTCTCTTTTGCACTTTCAAGCTAATGCTGTTATGCGCTGGTCTTCAGCATGCTTAGACTTACCGATTTGATAAACCCTTTTATGTTGTCGGAGAGGAGAGAATAATGGAGGAGAGAGACCAGAAATTAAATGAATCGAACACCCTCTACAACAGCGGTTCTCAACCTATGGGTCGCGACCCCTTTGGCGGTCGAATGACCCTTTCACAGGGGCCGCCTAACACCATCCTGCATATCAGATATTTTCATTACGATTCATAACAGTAGCAACATTATAGTTATGAAGTAGCAACGAAAATAATTTTATGGTTGGGTCACAACATGAGGAACTGTATTTTAAGGGCCAGAAGGTTGAGAACCACTGCTCTACAAGAACAAAACATCAAGAGTGAGGAAATTGCTTCCCCTTGGGAATGTCTACTGAACACATGCAATGATGTCAGTTAAAATAACAGGCCATTAGAACAGGTTAGTATTTAGTAATCTAAGCTTTTACATTTAATACTGTTTTAATGTACAGCTCACTCTAAGGTACTAGACATACCACCAACATACTTATTCTCTATCTATAGATTATTTACTTGGTAGATTATCCATGACCTATGACTTTTCCCTCTCCTTTCTAACTCACAATCACCTGGTTAAAAGTAAGAGAAAATTGGCTTCAGTCCTGAAGTCAGAGAACCTGGCTTTGCATCTTTGTGCAGCTCCTACTTAGTTCTGTACCTTCTCTGGATCTGTGTTCTTAGCTGCACAGATGAAGTATGTGATAGATGATCCCAGAGGCCCTTCTCAAATCTTAATTTCTGGTTACCTTTGGCCTCCTCCACCTGGGATGGATGCTGTGATTGTGATGGCTCGAGGTGATTTCCTAACCTGATCATCTTCACATTGTTCACTAAACTTAGATGTACAATCGATGTACATTAAGAAAGCAAATCAATTTTAAGTTTAGCCTAAGAAAAATATGATTACAGGAGATAAAAATGCTAATAACTATATCTATTTTTTAAAACTTCTGTGGCATTTATAATTTAAAACACAGAAATTTAACATATTATTCTAAGTTGTTTTTCTTTCTTCTCTGTTCATTTTCTTTCCTAGAAACACTAGACATGCTTTCATTATATTGTTTTTAAGAAAATAACTTGTATAACCCATAGTCCATTGTTCCTGGGCCCCATAGGAGGTATACAATTAATATAGAGAATTTCTTTTCTGTTAAATCATTTAAGAATGTTTATTTGGGGGGATTATTGTTTTCAAACTTGGCTATGCCTGAATTTATTTCCATCTTTAACAAGCTTGTGTCCAAAATAGGAGTTCAGTTACATCACTTATATCATTTCCTAGTGAATATGAAAACTGAATACTAAATGTTATATGGTTATTTGTATCATTGATTCATTAATATATTACATGTAGCATTTTATTTAATCTTAGTATGCTATTTGTTATGTGTTGATTCATATATGTGTACACACACACACACACTCAGCAGATATGTTTCCCCCCTGTTTAAGAACCATTCCATACCAGGAAAAGTTAAATTGTTTTTAAAAGTTATCAGTTTGCTCCTGTAGTCTTCATAATCAACTATAACATACTAGAGGCTCGGTGCACGGATTCATGCACTGGTGGGGGGCGTGGCCTTACGGGGATCAGCCCACTGTGGGAGTGCCGCTCATCCCAGTCAGCTGAACACCTGTGGACCTGCCCTCTGAACAGCTGCTCCCACTGTGGGAACACACTGACCACCAGGGTAAAGCTCCTGCATTGAGTGTCTGCCCCTAGTGGTCAGTGTGCATCATAACGACTGGTCGACCAGTCGTTCTGGTCATTCCACCATTCGGTCACTGGGCTTTTATATATATAGATAGTAAGTGTATCGTTGTAAGTTATGCATCTACATTGATCTTGTATCTTTTAAAAGGTATGGTGTGGAGCCTCCTGGTTTGATAAAATTGGAAAAAGAGATTGAACAAGAAGAAACACTTTCTGCCCCTTCTCCTTCACCTTCTCCTTCATCAAAGTCTTCTGGAAAAAAGAGTACAGGAAACTTACTGGATGATGCAGTAAGTAAAACTGGTCAGACTTTATACTACGTAGTCTTTTTTAATTTCAAAACTCATCTTGTTTTGTTTATTTTTTAATTTAAATTCCTTATTGTTTAAAGTATTACGTATGTCTCTGTTTTCCCCTATTGACCTCTCCCCAGCGATTCCCACCCCCCAGCACATGCCCTCAGCCCCTACTGTCTGTATCCATGGGTTATGCTTATATGCATGTATACAAGTCCTTTGGTTGATCTCTTACCTCCTTTAACCCCCACCCCCTGCCTTCCCTCTGAGGTTAGACAGTCTGTTAGATGCTTCTGTGTCTCTGGATCTATTTTTGTTCATCAGTTTATATTGTTCATTATATTCCACAAATGAGTGAGATCATGTGATATTTATCTTTCTCTGACTGGCTTATTTTGCTTAGCATAATGCTCTCCAGGTCCATCCATGCTGTTGCAAATGGTAAGAGTTCTTTCTTTTTTACAGCTGTGTAGTATTCCACTGTGTAGATATACCACAGTTTTTTGATCCACTCATCTGCTTGATGGGCACTTAGGCTGTTTCCAAATCTTAGCTATTGTAAATTGTGTTTCTATGAACAAAGGGGTGCATATATCCTTTCTGATTGGTGTTTCTGATTTCTTGAGATATATTCCTAGAAGTGGGATTATTGGGTCAAATCATTCCGCACAATCTCTTATCAGTCTAACCTATGTCTATTTCAATTTCATTGAAATTCATTTTAAAATCCTGTGAAAAAGTCTGTACTTCTACAGTTCATTTTGAGATTCAAAACTGAGCCAGTCTTTCAAATAAAATGTCACTTAATTCTGCTGAATAGTATCTAACAATGTAGGACAATAGATCAACTCCTTAAAAGTTGACTTTGAAAACACTTAAGATCGTTGCCAGTGGTTTGGCTCCTCATTTCACAGGTAAGAAGCCTGAAGCATGAGATCTGGAGGATTGTTAAAGAGGGAAAGCAAACACCACAGAGAAGATAACTGCTCTTTACCGACTGCCTGCTGTGGTCCAGGGTCTAGCATTGTTTTCCAAGTGCTCTAGGTATCTGTAAGGCAGGTTTCTTACTGAGAAAACAAACAGAAGTTGAATCACTTCCTGAGGAAAAAAGAGGAGCTCAGATTCCAACCCAATTTTGTCTAACTCTGAGGTCCCCATCCCTCTACTTAGCAGAGTCCTTGAGTCACAGTCTTTGGCAGATTAGCAACTATTGTCATTATCCCTCATAATCACAGAAAACATCCTGAGTGTTACAGCAAAAGGAATGAATTAAAACTCTCTGGCAACCTCTGTTGCCTGTTAAGTAGTTCTTGGTGATAAGTAGTGTGTTCGATTATGTGTATTTACCTCCCAGAACATGTGTTTTGGGTACAAATGTTAAAAAAAAATGGTTACTTGTTTTATAGCAAATATTAACATCATTCAGAGCTGTGAGAGTGAAATGTGTCTCCAATACATGGGGAGAGTCCTGAGAAACTAGCAGCAGCCATAATGCCCATTCTAAGAAGTAGACAGGACTAACAAGGACTGCTGGCCCATGGCTGAGGGTTTCCTTCGCCAGGGTCTGAGCGGAACAGGCTGGGACTGTGGTACACAGTGCAGAAACACGGTTTCCCAGCTTTTGCTTTCCCCCATGTGGCACTCTAACTTACACTGCAGGTTCGGATGAGCAGAAATATAACTTTTTCTGGCAGATTGAGAATTCCCATTTCTGCTAAGGGCAGCAGACTTAAACTTAGCCTGTTATAGTATCTTAGCCAATAACAGTTTAATTTGGTTTTCTTCTGTTCAGTCCATTCAGGAATTAAAGAATAGGCAAGGACATTTTTTTATCCTCACCATTGACTTGTGAACCAGGAGGTCATGGTTCACTTCCAGGTCAGGGCATATGCCTGGGTCGTGGGCTCAATCCCCATTGTGGGGTGTGCAGGAGGCAGCCAATCAATGATTCTCTGTCATCATTGATGTTTCTATCAATTTCTCCCTCTCCCTTCCTCTCTGAAATCAATAAAAATACTTTTTAAAAAATTTAAAATTATAGAACTGTTTTTAAGAATCAGTGACATGCCTTCCTTATCATAGTATTTCGTATTTACTTTATAAGTTAATTGAATAAAGTATTGTATTAATAGTATGTAATAGTGCATTATTTATATATTGATGAGAACAATTTTCCCCGATTTATTTTGGGGTAAGATGTTCCTTTAGTCTTTCTCTTATAAATGTGTATCTCTGGGGCAACTGCACTTGATTTTAATCCTTTTCCCCTCAGCTGTCACTTCTACTCATTTTCTTTAATGCTTTATAGTCAGAGCTTGGACAGCGTCTTAACCTCCTAATGAATTAATTTCTGAATCAAATACATTCTTTTAGTTCTCACATTATGAGGCTTATTTCTCATGTTTGACATTGTTGAACAATGTGTTCTTGACATTATTATCCATAAACATTATTGTTACCTAGGTGCAACTCAGATTTGATGAAAATTTATAGGGGTTCCCTTTAACATCCAAGGTAAATCCCAAATCATTTATGTCACATAAGTCTCCATGTGCTGGCCTATTTTGTCTTTCCCCTCTAAACTCATCCTAGCATTCGGAGGTACCCATTGTAAAGATGCCTGCTAACCCCAAATTCCAAAGGACATTTTATGCTCTGTTTTTCCTCATTTGCTTTCATCACCATATGTATGCCTATACATCTTTTAAATCTACTTTTAAACACCTTTTCATCTTTTAAAATTCAGGCTGTGAGCTTTCCTTGGCATCTCCCATTCCAGGTGATATTGACAAATTAGTCCTCGATGCCCCAAGTGTTTTTATATATTTCATGAGGTATTTACCTTATTGGGCATAAATACCCATTATTCTCTATGTGTAGTCCTTGTTCTCAAAGGCATGGGCCATCTTTTTTTAATCTATGTCTATTAGTGCCATTTTTGTTGAATAGATTATCAACGTGAGTAATTAATGTTTAAAAAAGCTTCTCCCTTGTTCTATTTATCTGGAATGGCCATGTGCTCTGGAAATGGGCTACTTTGCAGAGGGAGGAGATGTTGCCCCTTGAATCCATTTACATGAACCTGGAAGAAGTCGCTAGAATGGTTCCCTTTCTTCACCAGCTTGTCCCATATGTGGTCATCCCTCATCCTTGAGAAGTGGAGGAAAAGGACAGGAGGGAGGAGGTGGTGAAATAACTATGAGAAGGATTTTGGAAAAGTTTCTTCAATATTCCAGTCCAAGCAAGATTGTCACCCCATGGTGGTTCTCCCTTCTCCAACTTCTCGTCCCCCAACTGGAAACAATGAGGGGCTCTCACAAGAGCTTTAAACCTCTTTTAAAGTTTACCACAAATTTGGGAATGTAACCATCCATTTAGTTACGGGGTTTTAACTGAATGTAGGAATGTGCAAACTGGATATTTCTGTACCGTTGCCAGCTAGAATACTATGTTCTGAAAGGTTTTAAACCAGCATTTCTCCAAGAATGTTTAGTCAAGTACTGACACCCCAGATGCCTCGCAGGGAGAAGAATTCCATGGTTAGGTTGGTTTGAGAAACACAGCTCACTGTATTTCCTGGGTAGAGTTTGGCAATTCACTGTGATATATTAAAGGCACTAGTGAGTCCATCAGATCTTGTTTTACCTGGAATTTTCCAAATTATTTGGCCATGAAAGTTTCTTATAGTCTCTCCTTCATACTTTGTTGCTGAATTGCATTGCAATATTTGCATTCTGATTAAGTGATAGTTTTGAAGTTTCTTATAGTCTCTCTTTCATACTTTGTTGCTGAATTGCATTGCAAATATTTGCATTCTGATTAAGTGATAGTTTTTTCACCAAATTTATTTCAGGGACAGTGGAACAGAGAGAAACATCATTTGAGTCTCACTAATGATGTAAATCAGAGATTCGTATGTCAAATATGAAAATTAAGTAGTCCCTATGGCAGTTGCTTCACTGCATGTGAAACATATATAGCGGTGGGAAATTGAAATTCATGTACCCCAGTTTGTGTTTTAGAATGGGGATGTAAAATAGAGATTGCCTGCAAAGTTCTTGTGTTCAGTTAAAAATATTGGCTATTTCTGCTCTGACAAAATTACTATTTGTATCAAAAAAGTAAAGAAGAAAGAGAATAAAGAGGGGGAATAAAACAATAAAGAGTAGAAAAGGAGAAAAGAAAAAGAAAGAGCAGAGTAAGAAAAAGCAGACCTGTGTTAAGATATCATATTGCAGAGAGCAATTTCAACAGGAACTGCCAGTTTTGAAACTGTCAATATTTCCTCACATTTATTTGTTTGCTACTTTGGGGGATTGAGGAAATTTGGAAAAAAAATATAGGTGACCTTTTCTGTGGATAATACGCCCTACCTTCTTTAATCAAGATATCATAAAAGAATACACAGTGGTGTCCATTCAGATTAATTTATTCTCCCGAGGGCCTGATAGAGCGATTCAGCTGCGATAAAGTGGTGGGGTCGGGTTCAGTTCTCTTTGCATTCCCTCATGGTGAGCTGGTTCCCACACAATGAGTTGAATCCAGTTCTAAGAAACCATTCTTACTTTCTTCCTCTTCTCCATCAACTTCCTCAGTCTGGGGATGATAGATAGTGTAATTCTGAGTAATCAGGCTCCTCTTGAAATCCCATTTCAGCAGAATACTGGCTGGGTTCCTGGGCCAAAGCAGAACACCTGCCAGACTGACTTATCCCGAGGTAATGTAAGACGCACAGATGTCATCGGTCACTGTTTACTTAACAATCTATTTTCACTACCCCGCAGTCTGGCCTCATCTCTTCCATTTCTGCCCCCACCTCTCACACAACTACAAAAAAAGCCCTTGATTTTTAAAAAAACAAGTTTGTTTTCAAAGCTCGGAAGGCACTGGGAGAAGGGCGGGCCACTTGAGGAAATGCATTTTGTATTTCACTTCCTTTGATTCCCACAGTTTCTGTGTTTTGTCTAAGAACACTTCAAGATGGAAACACTTTTACCCATACTTACGATTATCATTTTTTAGCAGAGGAACAACTTGAACACCAGTTTACCCTTTGCTCAATTACTGTGTGGCAGGAAAGCTGGGCCAAGGAGGGCTCTCCTAAAGTTTGGGCCACGTGCTCTCATAATGCTGACTGATTGTTCTATCATCACCATCTTGTTTAAGAATATCCATTCAAAAATGTCTCTAGGGACAGAATTCTGTTAATATTGTGCGAGGGTGGATGTACCTATGGGTCAAGTATCATATGATAGAAAAAATTCAGAACTCAAATACACAGCCTAATCACTAAGTTAATGACCTTAACAGGTTTTCCCCCCCCATTTTTCAATGAAAGCCATTTGTAACATTCTTTGAATCCAATTTTAATCGGTTGTACGATTTCCCCCCGTGTCCCGTATAGGATCATGTTTTTATTTAGCCATTCATTTAGTTACTCAATATGCATTTATTGAACACATAGTATATGCCATTAAGGGATTTTGTTTTATTTGAAGGATTTAAAACAGTAATGAAATACTATCTTAACCCTTAAATAACTCAATCCAGCAAAGAGAAATTAGGGTTAACCAATAACTGATATACAATTTGATATGGTAAGAATAAGTATTAAGAATTATAGGTTTATATGTTGGCAGAATTAGGGATTCTAGACAGAACAGATGAAAATATGTATCTCAAAGTTGGTTCCCTCTTCCTCAGCTATAGTGTCAGTTTTTCTTTATGGTCTTCACTGAGGCATAATTGCATAGCACTTAATGTAAGTTTTCTTCAGGATTCCTCCACTTTTTTCTAGCTTTTTCTCTAGTTATTATGCTTCCATACTTTCTGGAATCTCTCAATCTGGGAAAACCAAGCTGTTTAAGTTCTGTGCACCAACACACAAGTGAATTCATGTGTCACTCTTTCCAAAGGTTTTGTTTAATAGAAGGCTGATTGAAGTCAGACGTTGCTTTATTTGAAAGAATGATTGACTATCTTTGGTGATGAAACTATATCTTTGTGGAAGAAAGAACTTAAGTGGGAGAGACCAAGTCAATTCTTCAGAAACTAAATTTATTCAGTCTAGCTTCTCAATTGCAGGGTGCATGTTGTTTAGATCTGTGACTCAAAACACAGGAAATTGTTGCTTTGGTTTGTTTGGTTGGTGAGTTGAAGAGAGGGCAGTTATGAGACACAGCATGACAGGTTCCCAATTAAGAAAAACATAAATAGCCCTAACCAGTTTGGCTCAGCGGAGAGAGCGTCGGCCTGCGGACTGAAGGGTCCCGGGTTCGATTCCGGTCAAGGGCATGTACCTTGGTTGCGGGCACATCCCCAGTGGGGGGTGTGCAGGAGGCAGCTGATCGATGTTTCTCTCTCATCGATGTTTCTAACTCTCTATCCCTCTCCCTTCCTCTCTGTAAAAAATCAATAAAATATATTTTTTAAAAAACAAAACAAAACAAAAAAACATAAATATAAACTTCATTCCTAAAGTCATGGTCTATATACATTGCCTTCTAATAGTCACAACTACTTATAGGCATTGTGCACACATTATTTATATTAGGTATTTTTTTTTTAAGAATAGGGAGATAGATAAAATCGAGGTAAATTCTGATATTCAGATGTGGTTTTATAAAATGTATGTAAATTGTAAGATACTGCCACTGAAGTAGGTTTTGGAGGGTGGCATTTACTGAGATGGAATACATTGCTGGGTGAGCCTGGGTGTACTAGAGATGACTTCTTTTTTTAAAAAAATGTTTTTATTAACTTTTAGAAAGAGAGGAAATGTGAGGAATAGAGAGATAGAAAAAATGATGAAAAACATCGTCAATTAGCTGCCTCCTGCACACCCCCCACTGGGGAGCAAGCTGTACAACCTGAGCATGTGCCCCAACTGGGAATTGAACCGATGACCTCTTGGTTCCTGGGTCGATGTTCAACTGCTGAACCACTCGGCCAGGCTAGAGATGACTTATTAAAGAAAACCTTTGAGTTCAAAATAAGATGAAACAATAGTCTCATAAAAACAACAACAACAACAAAGTGTTCTATTCTCTATTTTGAAATGGGTAAAATTCATATTGTTAAATTACAATGAGGAAGCACAATTTTGACATATGTTCTATTCTAGTTTTCAATGTATTTATCTTGGCAACCCAATGTACATGATCTTTTTAATTCTCCCACAGTGAGGGAACCCAGATTCATTCTTACGCTGCAAATTGATTTGCTTGGCATTATCCTCCAGCATCATTTCTTTGTCATGATCCAGCTCATGCTTTAGTGCAGTTATTGGCCTTCAGAAAATGCCTTCCAGGCCTGATCTTCACATGGTTAGGACGCAACTGCTCATATCATGTTCATAGTGTGATATAGAACACATATAAAAGCAGCCCTGGTCCAGGGGCCTTTCAACCCACAGAACAGATGAATCTAAATGGGACTTGATGAAGGAGAATGAACTGGAGAATGAACTTGCCTGCTCTTCTATTTCAGGTGAAAAGGATTTCTGAGGATCCTCCTTGCAAATGCCCAAGCAAATTCTGTGTGGAGAGGCTTTCTCAAGGAAGATACCGAGTGGGAGAAAAGATTCTCTTCATTAGGGTAAAGTTTTACTGCTCACATGATATCTTATCCTTTATGAGACTTTCAGGACTTGAGTGGGGGTTACAGGAAAGTATGACCAGTAACTAAGCAGGGACTTCCCCTATGGTGGTTACAGTTGGACTTGAAGAAATGAGGTATGAACATTTAAAAACATATCACACATAATTACTGCTGAGGGCTAAATAAATAGAACTATCTCTCTCTTTTTACATATACCCAAACATGCACACCAAATAGACCATAGAGATAAAGTAGAATGAGGAAAAGAAAAAAACAACAAATTCATTTTTGTTTATACATTCAGTTTCAAAGGAATCCCCCCTCCACCCCCCCACACACAGATATCCCCAATGGGAAACAGAAATCAACATTCTGCCCTGATCTTTCATATTTCTACTTCAGGAATATCATCTTATTGGTCCTGGCAATTTTCAAATTATTTGAACATGATCTTTAAAAGAAGTTTGGATTATGAACCAGGGTGAGGGGAATGAAAGCTCATTACAATGGCTGGGCTAAATAGTGACTGCCATTTATTACTTAGTTTTCTGAGTGAATGAAGAAATGTGGACTTATGCCAATGAATGATTTGGTGGTCTCCATTTTACAATTGTCCTAATTAGATATCTGACTAGATTGTAATTAGTGGCTCAATAAAGTCACATTTCAAGTCTTTCACTTGTGATCTGTTTTGGTAATAATCAAGAAAACATAATCTCTTAAAATAAGACTTTTCATAAGACCAAGAATTCTTCTGAGAAATAAGAAAATGGAAAATATAGCACTGATACATTCCTATAATTGATAAGTATAAATATTTTTCCACCATAGTTTTTAGTCATTACCTAAATAATAGCAATTAGGTTTCAAAGGAGCTATAGTCTCTTTCTTTTGAATAAGTTACAAATTTCTTGCTTGTTATTTTATTTTGTAGAGCAGAATATTTGAATGCGTACATCTAGTACAATCAATGAATATTCTAAATCAGTGGTTCTCAACCTTCTGGCCCTTTAAATACAGTTCCTCATGTTGTGACCCAACCATAAAATTATATTCCAGCAATTAGGTTTCAAAGGAGCTATAGTCTCTTTTCTTTTGAATAAGTTAAAAATTTCTTGCTTGTTATTTTATTTTATAGAACAGAATATTTGAATGCATACATCTAGTACAATCAATGAATACTCTGAACAATACTCACAGTGATGGCCCAGTAGAAATTTTGCCTGTGCAGTATTTTCTTAATTTCAACTTTTGACTGAAATTTATTTGTGTGACAGATTTTTTAAGGTTCTACATCATGTTATTTGAAGAAAAGTTTGATCATAATTAGCCTTCAAAATAATGTCAGTCATTTTTTAAAATCTAATTTAGGTCAATGTTTATTGGTGTGTGTTTTTAAAATAATTTTAGGTAAAAATTGATATTTTGGAATAGCAATGAAAGGGATATAATAGGTCAGTGTTAGAGTTTTGGTACAAATCTGGGAGAGTGGCCTCATTAGGATAAACAGTTGCCCCCATCAATGCTTATTGTTCTCTTGTATCTTATTATAAGGATAATATACAGGTTCATTTTAGCCACGCTACATGCCTTCCCTTTAGTACATTAAAAATAGTGATTTAGTCATTCCAAAGATGTGTTTAAATTTTACTATGCTGACCTTTCTCAATTGAGAGTCAGGCTCCTTGAGAATATTAGATCCAAAGCAAGGTTTAATTCATGTTAAAACAGTTATTCCTTTTATGATCGAAGTGTTGACAAAACACATGATTAATAAACTAGATACTTTTTCTTCTATTGTAACCCAATATCTGTGGCTAAAAATATATACATATATGTGTGTAGCTATTATATGTTTATTTGTGTCTGGTCTTTAATTTAGTCAATTGTCAACAAGTTTGATATCGGTATTTATGAATAACATAAATTTACATTGCATTTAATATTTAAGAAAATTTTTGTGTGCCATTTTTCTTTTCAGAAAATGGTTTCCTTTTGGTAAAATCTGTGCATGTGTTGTTTATAGAGGACTTGGGATTTGCTTTACTGGAAAAAATTGCATCAACTTCCCTAGTGATAGCATTTGAGTTAAATACAGTGTGTTACAGCAGCATATACTGTGCACATTCAGTTTCATGCTTCCAGTGTTCCAGGTAAGCCTGCAATAAGGGAGTCAACTGTGACGTGGTTTTCACTGACTGGCCAGCAAGTCATGGTGTCATGCTGCTATGACGGGTGTTTTAATCAATTTTAGTTATTCATTTTTTCTCACTGTGCACTGTCCACATATAATGTGAGCTATTTTTTTTACAACAGATTTCCCTTTAAAATTAACCCGTTATTTTTCATATCTTAATTATTAAAAAGGAATATTTATATGACTGCTTAAACCAGAAAGTAAAACTATTTGTCAAAAAAGAAAGTTATCTATTAATATATATTGAAATTCTTATCCTTTGGCTTGCCAGGGGTCTGTTCTCACCCTGATGGAGGAAAGTGATTCCAAAAAGGCTCCTCTGTTGTTTCTTGATATCCCTCATGGCTTTTACCTCCCAGTCCCTATAGTTTAGGAATTGAAATTTCACAGGCAAGCCATAGGCACTGTTCATTGCACATTTTCTCCCTGCTTCCTTCTCTTCACTGAATGCAGGAACTAATACTGTCTTAGTGAGGAGTACAGGCTTTGGCTAGTCCTTTTGATTTGTGGCAGGGACTATATTTAATTGATTGCTATTCTGCACGAACTCACTACAAGGAACTGGCAGTTATTACTAAAAAACAACACTCCAAACCCTCAGAGGTATGGTTGTTGCTGCTAGTTTCTTACCTTATGGCTCTATGAACACCTGAATTAAGTAGTAAGTGCGCTGTAGTCAACTTCTCACCCACAGTAGGGAATGACAACATCACAGGGGCTGCATGCAGTTCAGCATTTTCTAAACTTACGTTTTTCACATTGGCATATTTTACATTTTTTCATATCTTTTTTGAGGCTGCTAAATATGGTCCTAGTCAACTTCTCACCCACACTAGGGAATGACCACATCACAGGGGCTACACTGCAGTTCAGCATTTCCTAAACTTACGTTTTTCACATTGGCATATTTTAAATTTTTTCATATCTTTTTTGAGGCTGCTAAATATGGTCATATTTACTATACAAAACATAATAATTAGATGCACATATGCATATTATTATTATATAAAATATACATACAATGAAATATATATGGTGTCTTAGCTTTTGTCCCCTAGTTTTCTGTCAGTCCTGGGAATGGCAGTGTCTTCATATAGCCATAATGATACTGGCCATGCAAAGAACAATTCTGTCTTCTCAGGCTGTTGTTAAGACTGTTGACTTAGCTTTTACATAAAGATAATACAGTTATCAAAACAGTGACTCAGGAAGAAACTCTCTTAGAATTAATAAATACAAAATTATCTTAGTAAGTCTGCATGTAACACGTTTACTCTAGATTTAACAATTTTATTCCTAAGAAAATTATAAGGTTTGTTGACAATACCCAATCACTTTACTTATATATGGTTTTATGATTATTATGTATATGAACACATCTTCTCTTTATACATTAAAACAGAATCACTAACAGCAAGTAAGAATGAAAAATATAAGAATGTCAGCAGATTATAGAAAAAGAGCCCAGAAGACATTTTCTGCAGAGGATATCTTTGCTAAACATATGTCTTATCTGTGGGTTTCTAGAAAGAATGTATGCATGGACCCTTCACCTACATGGCTACCTAGTGTGCACTTATCTAGCTGCAACCATATGCTTATGTAGGCATGTGTGCTTATGTGCATGTCTTCGTTTCAAGGTGAGGGATTAATCTATACCCAACTATAAAGAATCCAATAGTATAAGAGAAAACCTCTGAGGTTTTTGACTGTGTCTTTTAGACAATCATGCTCATAATCCCCTGTCAGGGTGAGAATTCTCTTGTTTCTAGCTTATAAAAAATAATTTTCAAAGCTATATATTTGCTCTACATCTTCTAATGAGCAACATTGTTTTTGACCAATCTGATAGACAACAAGATAAATGCAGCTAATTTGTATCTGTTGTGCAGAAACAAGTTTACTTTCCTCCAAGATATAAATGTTTCAGTTATTTTTCAGTGACTTTTGAATTTGGACAGTGATGCTAAAACCGCCTTGATTTCTGAGGTAACAGGTTGGGATATTACCATTTCACTATGTTATATATCATTAAAATAGAAATAGAAGGGTCTCGGGCCTAATGGTATTATTTGAGGAGAAGAGAAGTAAGAATTTTACTTTGTTCATTTGTTCATTCAGTTAGTTGGTATCTACCCAGGCTTTCAAGAAGTCAGTTGGCAATATGATTGTGTATAAGCTAGTGGGAAAGGTTTCCACATGCCATAAAAAGGTCTGTGCTATTTTATTTGTCAGCCTCCATTTCATGGTGACAATATTCCATGTAAATAATCCAACAGTAGCTTTTAAAAGGGATCCCAAGATAAGCAGCATCAGCATCACCTGGGAACTTGTTGGAAGTGCAGATTCTTGGCCTCACCCTGACTCATTAAATCAGAAGCTCCCTGAGGGTGGGGCCCAGCCACCTGTGTTTTAACAAGCCCTGCAGGTGATTCTGAAGTGTGCTGATGTTTGAAACAAACAATCTAAAAGAAAACAAGAACTATATGAAGGAAGAAATTTGTCATACAATACCACAACTAGAGATCATTGCACATCTGGTCATGGAAGACTACAACCACTCAGGTACTAGGAAATGACTTATTTAAAAGACTTCTAGGTATCCTTAGTGGGGGGTGGGGAGGGGACAGACTTTGAAATCGTATTTACATATTCAAAATGCCACTTCGTGGAAATGATGTTTATAATTATGATTAAGACTAGAAGGGAATAGGAATCATTGAAAATAGTTTTTAATTGTTGGGGGCATAAAATTATGAGTGAGCATTTACTTCTGATGATGACATTAATAACATGAACT